TAACAAATGTAGAAATACTCTTCTTGGAGGGTTGGGATTTACTTTTTGGATGGCATGCCTATTTAATTTTCAATAAAAAGGTTGATAGGGTCTTTAAATCTCACATTATAAGGATTTCTTTATTTCGGGTTTGGAGGAAATATTATAGAAGTGATTTTAAAATTCCACTATGGGCTATACCATGGCATGCGATAGAAGGAATAAGGAGAGGAGTCAAGATGGATAGTGTTTCTTATGCACAATTACTTAGATGGGATGGTAAAAATTGGCAATTAAAATCTTTGGAAGATCTAACACAAGAAAATATTATTTATTCATGGTTTTAGTATAGACAAATAGTGGAGAGGTGGAAGATAGATCGTAATGTGGGTTTGCTTAGAGAAGATGAGAATTTGTTAAAACAAATAAAAGATCAAAGACAAACTCATATTAAGAGAATCTATGGGGTGTTAGTAGAATTGGATTCAGAAGCAGAATTAGTTAAAGAATGTATGGTTAAATGGGCACAAAATTTTGATGAACCGGTTCTATTAGATACCTGGGAAATTATTTGGGTGAGAATGTTAAATTTACACAAGCCCAAAACTTAAGGGAGAATTTTTATAAAATGTTTTATAGATGGTACCTTGACCCACAAAAAATGTATGTATCTAAACTTGCAGCCTAAATGTTGGAGATGTGGATGTTTGGATGCTACTTATTATCATATTTGGTGGTCATGTAAAAATATAAAAGCTTTTCGGATTAAGATATAGTGGAATATTCAAAGAATTTTTAGAAGGAGGGTAAAATTTACCCCACAATTGTTTTTGTTAGGTATTGTTTCTGATTGTGATACTAAAGAGACTATATTGATGTTAAATTTAATTACAGCGGCAAGGTTGTTAGTAGGGCAATGTTGGAAGAAGGAATCTTTGCCTACTTTGCAAGAGTGGTTTTTTAAAATTTCTTATTTGGCGGAAATGGCAAAGATTTCGGCTTTCTTGAAAGACCAATCGCAAGAGAAATATTTTTTGGTATGGAAAAAATAGATAGACTTTATACAATATAAGTTGGATATAAAAAAATATTATTTAGCTTTTCAATAATTTATATTTAAAATTTAAAATATTTTATAGATCTTATTTTTTATTTTTTTATTATTTTATTTTTCTTTATCTCTTTCCTTTTTCTGTCTTCTTATTTTTCTAGTATTTTCTTGTATTTTTGTTTTTTCATATATATATTATTGTTAACTATCTTACAATTTAATTAATGTATTTAATGTATTTAGATTTATTTATGGTTTATATTTTTTTTAAGACTTTTTGAAAAAAAATTCAATTAAGCCTATATTCAACTCTGGGAAGGTTGGGGGAGGGTATGGGAGGGTTGGGGGGGGGTTGGGGAAGGGTTCTATTGTTTTGTAAAAACAAATTGTAAGGAGAGGAGTTAAGATGGATAGTATTTCTTATGCACGATTACTTCGATGGGATGGTAAAAATTGGCAATTAAAACGTATGGATGAGATAGCACAAGAAAATATTGTTTACTCATGGTTTCAGTATCTTTGCCTACTTTGCAAGAGTGGTTTTTTAAAGTTTCCTACTTAGCGGAAATGGCAAAGATTTCGGCTTTCTTGAAAGAGCAATCGCAAGAGAAGTACTTTTTGGTGTGGAAAAGATGGATAAATTTCATACAATATAAGTACAATATAAAAAAATACTATTTAGTTTTTGAATAATTTATATTTAAAGTTTAAGATATTATTTAGAAGTATAATTAGAAGTATAATTATTATTACTTTTTTTTAATTTTTTATCTTTTTTATCTTTCTCTTTTTCTTTTTGTTTCTTTTCTTTTCCTCTTTCTGTTTTCTATATATATTGGTGTTAAAGTATTTTATAATTTGTTTAATGATTGTAATCAAATTTGTTTATGGTTTATTTGTGTTTAAAAATTTTTCTTTTAAGTTTTAATTAAGCCTGCATTCAGCTCTGGGAAGATTGGGGGAGGGTATTGGGGTGGGTTGGGAGGGTTTGGGGAAGGGAATCTTATTGTAAAATTTTAAAAATTTTCAATAAAAAAAAAGAAGTAGCTATAAAAACCAGGCACTCTTAGGGATTTCCCAATGGAAATCCAACCCACACTCCAGTTTTAGCGTCACCTTTGATGTTTGCAAAGCAGCTAATTATTGGACTCCAATATATGGTTGTGGAGGGATCAGTCATATTCACAGATAAGTACTTGTGCCCACCAGATGGATGTGCGGTCAAATGTAAGTGGTGGTCATGTATTAAGTGACATACCCAAGACCCAAAGGAGATAGACCACATCTTGTTTGAAAAGAATGAAACAAAAGCAGATTCCTGTGGAACGGATAACTGTAATTTGGTGACTCTCACAGTCAAGAATGGCAGTTGGTTCTTGGAACAAATAGATGGGAAAGAAAGAAATGGATGTTTGGGATAAGAATAGATACAAAAGGCTATGACCCAATGTCAGGAATAGAAGTCAAAATTATAACTGCAACCAAAAGACCAGAACAAAAATCATTATTTTGGTCATATTATGAGGAAATGGAGAACCTACATATTTCTGAAGTACCTAGACATGTAACCAATACCTTTGTTAAGTTAGCAGAAGACACTGCCCATACTTTAGGCGTGTCTAACTGTTTTGTGTGTGGTGGAACAAACATGGGAGAAAGATGGCCATGGGAGGCACAAGAGTTAATTTATACCAAGGTATTAAGAAATGTCTAAAAATAATAATTTAACCTATACAAGTGGGAAAGATGGTGATTGGGCTCTCACTTCCAACTTGGTAGGACATGTATGTTACTCAAGAAACAAAACAGAATCTTGCATAGCAGTAGGTAACCTCCTATGCACAGGGACATGGGGAAACACTAAATGGTGGTCTGGAACCAACAACACCACTGCTATGGATCGTTATGCCCTTACTAACATACCTGGGATGCCATATCTAAAAGATCCCACAAATACCAGTCTCCATTGGTTAGCCCCAGGTGGAATGTACTGGATTTGAGGAAAAATGGCATACGGATAACTACCTAAGAACTGGTGTGGATCTTGTGTATTGGGAATAATTCGACCCGGATTTTTCCTGTTACCATTTAAAAACTAAGCAAATTCTTGGAGTCCCTATATATGATGAAGTTGGCAATATAAAACAAAAAAGGGAACCAAGTGCATAGACCCAATGCGCAGGAATCTTTTGGCAAAAAAATGAATGGCCACCTTGCCGCATCATCCTAGTCCAGTGGTTCTTAACGTTTGTGTGACGGCAACCCCCGTCACACAAACGTGCCGCGCATGCGCAGCACGCATACGTGGCGGGGCCCCATGCGCGGCGCCGCCCCCTGAGGGGGAAAATGGCGGATCGCCTTCTTTGGCGACCCCCGTAAAATGGTCGATCGACCCCAAATGGGGTCGCGACCCATAGGTTGAGAACCGCTGTCCTAGTCTATCACCCGGCTACTTGGGCTGAGGATGGAATGTATGGATACCATACCCCTATTTATATGATCAACAGGATCATTAGGTTACAAGCAGTGGTAGAGTTAATCACCAATGAGACTGTGAAGGGACTAACTGAATTGGCCAAAGAAAATGTGAAATCCAGAACATTGTTGTTGTTAATTGCGAAGTCGTGTCCGACCCATCGCGATCCCATGGACAACTTTCCTCCAGGTCTTCCTGTCCTCTACCATCTTCTGGAGTCCATTTAAATTCACACCTACTGCTTCAGTGACTCCATCCAGCCATCTCATTCTCTGTCGTCCCCTTCTTCTATTGCCCTCAATCTTTCCCAGCATTAGGCCCTTCTCCAGTGAGTCCTTCCTTCTCATTAGGTGGCCAAAGTATTTGAGTTTCAACTTCAGGATCTGGCCTTCTAAAGAGCAGTCGGGGTTGATCTCTTCTAGGACTGACCGGTTTGAACGCCTTGCAGTCCAAGGGACTCACAGGAGTCTTCTCCAGCACCATAGTTCAAAGGCCTCAATTCTTTGGCGCTCAGCCTTTCTTATGGTCCAACTTTCACAGCCATACATTGCAACTGGGAAAACCATGGCCTGGACTATACGCACTTTTGTTGGAAGGGTGATGTCTCTGCTTTTTAGTATGCTGTCTAGATTTGTCATAGCTTTCCTCCCCAGGAGCAAGCGTCTTTTAATTTCTTGGCTGCAGTCCCCATCTGAGGTGATCTTGGAGCCCAGAAAAATAAAATCTGTCACTACCTCCATTTCTTCCCCATCTATTTGCCAGGAATTGAGAGGGCCAGATGCCATGATTTTTGTTTTCTTAATGTTGAGTTTCAAGCCAACTTTTGCACTCTCCTTCTTCACCCGCATCAAGAGGCTCTTTAGTTCCTCTTCACTTTCTGCCATTAGAGTGGTATCATCTGCATATCTTAGGTTGTTGATATTTCTCCCGGCAATTTTAATTCCAACTTTTGATTCATCTAGCCCTGCCTTTCTCATGATGTGCTCTGCATATAAGTTAAATAGGCAGGGCGACAGTATATAGCCTTGCCGGACTCCTTTTCCAATTTTGAACCAATCAGTGGTTCCGTGTCCAGTTCTCACTGTTGCTTCTTGACCCACATATAGGTTTCTCAAGAGACAAATAAGATGGTCTGGTATTTCCATCTCTTTAAGAACTTTCCACAATTTGTTGTGATCCACACAATCAAAGGCTTTTGCATAGTCAATGAAGCAGAAGTAGACGTTTTTCTGGAACTCCCTAGCTTTCTCCATGATTCAGCGTATGTTGGCAATTTGATCTCTAGTTCCTCTACCTCTTCGAAATCCTGCCTGTACTTTTGGTAGTTCTCGATCCACATACTGCTGGAGTCTAGCTTGTAGGATTTTAAGCATAACTCAGCACCTCCTGGTTTCTAGTCTGGTACTAGAAACTGGATCTCTATCAATTACAACAGTTTCTAAAATGTTAATTTAATTTTATCCTCACTTTTGAATTGCTAAAATATGAGGAAAATGTAGCTATCTTTGAAAAATAAAATACATTATTGCAGAGGATAAACCCTTTAATATGTAGTCTAAAATATCTAATATATTTAAAATTAAAAACTTCAACGAAATACCTTAAGTGTTCTTCCAAAGTTTTGGACTCTGCTCAGTTACTCAGTTGTGTTGTAAACAGCACTCTAAGGATTTCTAATAAAATCATTTCAACAAAAATTCAGAAGGCTCACTGTGGTGCTCAAACTTTTAAACAGGAAAACAAAATTAGTAATAGTTCTGTGATACATGTAGTAACTTACGTTATTTCCACAGGAGGAGGTTGAGGGGTTTCTCGAGATTTGACAAATAAAGAAGAGCAGAAATTACAGAGTTTGTTGTATAACAATAAGGTTTAAGATTATTATTTTTTTGCAACTTGCATGGTTTCTTCTTCATGTACAGCTCTTCTACATGAAGGTCATAAACAAATCTATTTTCAAGACAATATTACATACATTGACTCTGCATTGGTGTATGCCCATGTTCAGAGAAGACAATCTCAGCCAGAAAAGCTAATTCATACTATAAACAAAGTATATGAATACAACATCCAAATTGTGGGGTGTTTTTCAGTGAAAGAAGAAAGTAAGCATTTCTGTAGAATGCCACATTTACCTCTATTAAAAAATATTTGGATGGCTGCCCAAACAAAATTCTTGGTGGCTCATAACAATAAAACCATAACATGAGAACAAACACCAGGCTTTTCAGTCATCCCCTTGGGATGTACCACCATCAATTTCAGACATTCATTCTCCATCCCTGCGCCCGGGTAAAAGCCCAGGAATTGACAGCCTTCCAAAAGCCTAAAAGAGGGGAGGCTTGTGGAATCCTTTGGGGGAGAGTATTCCATAAGGTAGGCACAGCCACAGGTGAAGGCACAGTTCCGAACTCCCTCTAGAAAGACTGCAAGACTCCAGGGAAGTGACCTGGAGCACACCTGCCCTATCTGATCTGGTAGGATGGGCAGATACTGTCAGGGGAAGCGATCCCACAAATATCCTGATCCCTGCCATGTAGGGATTTAAAGGTGACAACCACATTTTGAATTACACCCAGAAGGAAACTGGGAGACAGTACAGCTCATACAACAGAGGTGTAACATGGGCAAACCTAGAAACATCCAATCCAGCATTTGCTGTTGCTTTTTGGACCAGTTGTAGCTTCTGAGTTGCCTTCATGGGCACTTCAAGTGATCTTCAAGAATTTAGTAATGAAAAATATAAAGTTCTCTAAGTTGCAGAATGGGACGATTCTCCCTCTAGTCATGCGGGGAATTCACTGGAGAATGCAATTACATTTGGAAGAGTGAGCAGTAAAAGGAACCCAGGCTGTCAAAGAACATGGTGGCCGTACTCCATCAAAGCTGACATCAACCAAAGCAGACAGAAACTCAAATAGTGCAAGATAGGAAGATGTGGCAAGACCTTTTCCATAGAATCACCAAGAGTTGGACATGAATGAATGCATCATCACCATCATCATCTCCATCATCATCATCATCATGCTTTGTCAGTTTCTTTCTTGTAATATGTAATATGCCAAAGAGGAAAAAAGGAAAGAAAAATACCTGATGTTGGCACGATTAAATATATCTTCCTCTTCTGAGGATTCTTCATTGTATAATTTATCGCTGCTGCTTTTTTTCATCACTGCTTGATAAGTTTCCTGAAGCCAAAGAGGCTTCTCAAAAGAAGATGCTGAAGTCTAAGCATGAGGAAAGGATGTGAAAAATGATCATAAAACTTCAGTCTGAGATTTTAATTTTCAGTTTGCATTATCATTTTATTTATATCTCAAATTCAAATTCCAGATCCTGGAATGAAGGTTATTCCGTCAGATTTTCCTTTCAGGTTTTGTGAATTCAACCATTGTGATTTATTCCATAAATACTTTTCTGGTCATGGGAACTATGTCATAAAAATGTCTACCAAAAATGGTTCAAACACTGCTTTCTTTTAAATACCATAGTATATATTCGGGTATTTCAAACTGTCAGTCATCTCTAGAAATCACAGGTGTAGGACAGGCTGGGCTCAAGACTGTTGGCTGTGACAACTGCCTTCTTCTCCCTCTGCAGAGAGAAGCGAGAGTGGTTCTGAATTACTTCTGTGCGGGCAGAAAATCAGGGTGTCTTCTGTTCCTGAAGACAACTGATTGGCTTACAGGATCCAGAAGAAATGATGAGAGGCAGAGGAAACTGGCAAGGTCAGGAGGAACATCTGGGAAACTGCCATCTTTATCCACACTACTGTCAACATGGAGAGATTATCCTGCCTGGCTTAGATGACTTTAAAACACAGTGAGTGGCTTTAAAACAGGAACATCTACATTTAGAAGGAGCACAACAAATGGCTCTAGACATCAGTTACCAAGTAAAAGCCAACCTATGTCAAACACTGCAGTCCAGTCCTAAAGCCTATTTACTTAGAAGTAAGTCTCACTAAGTTTAATATACTCCCAAAATAAAAGGATTATATTTTTTATTTATTTAAATAAATTTATGTAACTGTCCATCTTACAGATAAGTGATTCTAGGCAGCTTGCACAATTAAAAAAAATCCACCATCCAGTCATACTTTAATTTGTATTATTGTTATTAAGACTTGGTAATTGAAGCTTGCCTAAGCCACATCTCTAATATTTATGGGAGTGTGAAGCCATGTTTTTTAGATCCAATAAGAAAATTGAAGGGGCGTTGTCTTACCTGAACGCCTTTTCTCAGCAGGATGATGTAGAATCCACCGGATGGGTTATTACAGCCTTCCTGCTCAGCAGACTAAGTCAGAACTTTGCCCACGCCCCTCCTTTGGGTGTGACTCCCAGTTTTGACGAGGCGAAGCAGCTCTGATGAATTCACGTAATGGCTCCATTTGTTGTACACCTGCCTAGACTATCTTCATGGGAGGGTGTGGATTCTACATCATTCTGCTGAGAAAAGGCATTCAGGTAAGACAACGCCCCTTCTCCAGCAGGATGGCTGTAGAATCCACCGGATGGGACATACCAAAGCCCTCATGTCTCCTCGGGAGGGAGAGTCTAGGCTCGTGAACCTTGAGAAGAAACAACCTGTTGAAGTACACACCTGCCAAATGCCGCATCAGCCGCCGCAAAGGCATCTACACAGTAATGTCTGACAAACGCCAAAGGAGAAGACCACGTTGTAGCTCTGCAAATCTCCTCCAACGAAGCCTGCATGGACCACATGGCCGACGCAGCAGCACTGCATGTTGAGTGAGCCGTAACGTGCGGAGGAACGGGAATTGACTGAGAAGAATAGGCTCAAGTTATACAAGCCCTGATCCACCTACCTATGGTCAAGGAAGAAACTTTCTTCCCCATGGCCAAAGGTTGAACGGATACAAATAGAGCCTCCGACTTATGGAAGGATGAAGTGCGCTTCACATAGTAACGCAGAGCCCTGCATACGTCTAACTTATGCCACTGACGTTCCAACCTGTGCGCAGGATTGGGACAGAAATTGGGGAGGATTAGCTCCTGAGATCTGTGAAAGATAGTGTTAACCTTTGGAATGAATGAGGGGTCCAGTCTAAGGACCACCCTGTCCTTGAAGAAGGTGCATAAATCCTCCCTGACTGACAGCGCAGCTAATTCCGAGATCCTTCTAGCTGAGGTAATAACCACTAGAAATGCTACCTTTAAAGACAAGAAGTGGAGAGAACATGAACTGAGAGGTTCAAACGGAGACGATGTCAAGGTCTGCAGCACCTTGGTTAAATCCCAAGAAGGATAGCAATGTACTACCAGAGGTCTGGTGTTGACCACTCCCTTTAGAAAGGCACTGATTGCCGGATGTTGCTACAAGGGGCTGGAATTGTCGCAGGAAAGGACCGTTGAAAGGGCCGCTAGTTGCCTGCGGATAGTACTGGATGACAAACCCTTATTCAGACCTTCTAACAAATAGTCTAGGATATTTGGAATAGTGATCGAGAGTGGTTCTAACTTATGTATAAAACACCACTTGCAGAATCCTCTCCATGTGGCGTCATAGATCCTGTTCATCGAAGGGCGTCTCGATGCTTGTATCATCAAGATCACCCCGGACGAATAAGACTGCCTGGCTATACCTTCCCGTTCAAATGCCAAGCGGCTAGTTGTAGCCACTGCGGGTCGGGATGTAGAAGGTTGCCCTGGCTGAGGACCACTCGGTCTGGAGGGATCCTCCACAGAGGTGATATTGAGAGATCCACAAGGTCGGCAAACCACGGACGCCGTGGCCAATGTGGAGCAATCAAGATTACCTCTGCTCCTTCCAGGATCAGCTTGCGTATGGTCGCCGGTATCAGAGGAAGTGGTGGGAAGGCGTACAAAAGCTGCGCCGGCTACCGACATCGAAGGGCATCTGTTCCCCGTGTCGGAAACCTGGAGAAGAACCTGGGAAGCTGTGTGTTTGTCGGGGTGGCAAATAGGTCCAGGTGCGGCTACCCGAATCTCCGTGAGATCTCCTCGAACAGAGCCAGATCCAGTTGCCATTCCGCATGGTCCACCTTGGCTCTGCTCAGAGAGTCTGCTTGACGATTTGCCTCCCCTGAAATATGTTCCGCCCTGATGGAACCCAAGTTTGACTCCACCCAAAGACCCAGAGCCGATGCTTCGCGCATAAGTTCCCAGGACCGGGTCCCTCCTTCTTTGTTGACGTGGGCCTTTGCTGCCACGTTGTCGGTCAAGATGAGGACATGCTTCCCTTTTACTAGAGGAGAGAATTGGAGGAGGGTTAGGTGTATGGCCCGAAGTTCGAGCCAATTGATATTGTGGGCGAGATCCAAGCGGGTTCACTGTCCCTGGGCCAGATGGGTCCCCAGGTGAGCTCCCCAACCGAACAGACTTGCGTCTGTTGTGAAAGTGACCCGAGTCGGCTCTCTGAATATGGTTCCCTTGGTCATCGCAGAGTAGAGACCAAAGTAGAGACCGTAATGTGTGATGTGGGACTGTGACCTTCCTGTTGGAAGCACTGAGGTTCTGTCTTTGATAAGGAAGGAGGAACCACTGTAGGAGCCTGGAGTGGAGCCTGGCCCACGGAACGATGCCCATGCAAGATATCATCTTCCCTAGGAGTTTTGACAGCTGTGCCAGAGACACCCTCCTGTCCTTCCGAATCAGTTTCCTGATGCTGGTTCGACGCTCCAGAGAAAGATATACCTTGCAGAGTGATGAGTCTATTATTGCCCCCAGGTGTTGGAGTCTCCTTATGGGAGTGGTGTGGCTCTTTTTGAAGTTCACGGAGAATCCGTGATTCTGAATGGTGAGTATTGTGGTCTGAATGTCTAACTGTGCTGTCTGGAGAGAACTGGACTGGACTAGGATATCGTCCAGGTAACATTGTACGCGCACCGGCATCAGCCTGAGATGGGCCACTATGACTGCTAATATTTTTGTGAAGACCCTTGGAGCTGAGGATAGACCGAAGGGTAAGGCCCTGTATTGGTAATGTCGGTGCGCATAGCAAAACCTGAGAAACTTGCGATATTGCGGGTGAATCGGAATATATAGGTATGCCTCCGTGAGGTTTATTGAAGAGAGGAAGTCTCTCTTCCTGATGCTGGCTAGTATGGACCTCAGAGATTACATCTTGAACCTTCTGTAGGTTAAGAAATAATTCAGTCCCTTTAGATCCAGTATTGCCCTCCACCCTGCTGAGGCCTTTGGAACCACGAAGAGAATGGAGCAAAACCCCTTCCCTTCCTGGTCCCTTGGTACTGGTTCTATGGCTTGAATTGATACCAGATGCGAAATGGCTGAGGCTACCAAGTTTGCCTTGGTAGTGTTCCGGGAGAGAGGGCACCTGATGAAGTGGTCTGGTGGGGGAGAATAGAACTCTAGGGTAAGATCGTACTTGATGGTCTCTAATACCCAGGCGTCGGAGGTGGTCAGTTCCCAGACGTCGCTGAACCTTTCCAGCCGACCCCCAATGGGAGAGTCCTGCCTGGCATCACTTGGACCGCCTGTAAGGATGGCCTCTAGATACCCTGAATGGACGCTTAGACTGGAATTGGCCTTTGGCTCCAGTATTTTGGCGATCCTGGGAATGATCCTGTCTGGAGTAGAAGGATCGCAAGCCTCTTGAACAGTCCCAGGATTGCCCTGGCCAAAAGGGCTGTCTCCACTCCCAGGAGCTGCTGGGACAGAAACTTTGTCTACGGAACTCCTGTGGGGCTCTCCTGTTCAGTTTTTTTGAAGGGTGGACTAAGATCTTGCATTTGTCCTTACCCTTGCTAACATGTGGATCCAAGATAGATCCAAACAAGAGTGTCTCACTGTATTTAGATGTGAACAGGTGCCATTTAGCCTTCAAGTCTGTCTTCCAATGTTTCAGCCATAGGAGCCTAGAGAGGCAACCGTGGCAGCTATAGATTTTGCAGAATATTTAGTTGAGTGTAAGGAAGCGTCTGCCATGTATTGGGAAGCGGCCAATATTTTGGCCAAAGTTTGATGTGTTCTAACCTGATCTGGAGGGACGCTGGCCTGTAGCTCGTGAAGCCACATGATGCAAGCCCTGGTGAAGAAGGAGGAAGAAGTTGCCACCTCGGCCGCCCAGGCCGAGGCCAGGTGTGCCTGACGGAGAGAGAGCTCAAATTTCTTGTCTTCAGCTTTCAGGGCCTCTGTCATGTCCCCTGGAATAGCAGATGTAGAAAACAGTGAGATCAGAGGACTATCAACAGTGGGTACCTCCAACAGTGAGGCAAATGAAGGAGAAACATTAAACAGCTTCTTTTCTACGCTGTTAGGAACAGGTGGAGCTGCCAGCGAGGACCATTGATCTTCCACAGAGGTGCGGAAAACCTCTGGGCAAGGAATGTACTTGTCCTCCTCTACCTTCCTCGCGAACAGAGGATTGGCCTCCTGACTGGTAGAAGGTTTTTCCTCCTGTACAAAAGTTAGATTAACGGTGGTAATTGCTTTGATTGGGAGAGATTTAAGAAGAGAGGGGTCAAAGAGACCTGAAGTTGGGGTCTGCTCAGGAGTAGCCTCTTCATCTTCCGACAAGGGCATGTCAGCTATGTCAAGGTCCACCGACTCCGCCTCTCCCAGCTGTGAGGAGGTTTCTTAAACATCTGTGGCGGAAACAGTGGCCCTCCCTTTTTGGGATAGAGGTTGGAAGGTCAGTTGACCTTTGGAGGATATAAACTGAGTGAATGTATTTTGCATAAAGGACTGAAATTGAGCAGACCAGATATCCTCCTGAGACCTGGCACTAGGGCCCGCCACAGCCGGAACATGATCTGGTGATGATGCAGATGATGAGGAGCAAGGGGAACCAACCTGCTCAGTTTCCCCCTGAGGAGACCAAGACCTTAGAATTTTCTGAGAAGAAACAAAGGTAGGTTCAGGTCTAGGGGTCTCCAATGGGACGGGGGGAACTATGTCAGCCTCATTGGATCTAAGTCTTTGGGCCCTAGAGAATTGTTTTTTTTTTAATTGAAATTTTTTTATTTTTTTTAAAACATACAATCATTTATAAAAATACAATAAAATTTTAGAATAGAAAACCCCCTCCCTTACCCTCCCTCCCACCCCCACCCCCCTCCCTTCACTTCCCAGAGCAGAATACAGGGTTAAAAAAAAGAGAAAATTATAATAATTAAGAAAAAAGAGAAAAAAAAGAGAGAAAAAAATATCATAATTAACCTTTAACTCCATAACCTATAAAATTCTCTATAATATTTGATATTCATTCATAAAATAAATAAAACTTTTTAATTCCATACTTTTTCTGAATATAATCTATCCACCTTCCCCATACAGTAATATATCTTTCTTGTGTATGATCCTTTAAATAAGCAGAAATTTTTGCCATTTCTGCAAAACTAGATACTTTAAATATCCATTCTTCTAAAGTAGGCAAAGAATCTTTCTTCCAATATAAACCTACTAGTAACCTTGCTGCAGTTAATAAATTCAACATCAAAGTAGTTTCTTTTTCATTTAAGTCAACAAAAATACCAAGTAAAAATAGTTGAGGAGTAAACTTTATCTTTTTTCTAAAAATCTTTTGAATGTTCCACCAAATCATAATCCAAAAAGCCTTTACTTTTTTACAATTCCACCAAATATGAAAGTATGTCGCATCATTATTGCCACATCTCCAACATTTGGGCTGTATGTTGGAATACATACAAGATAATTTTTTAGGATCTAAATGCCATCTATAAAACATTTTATAAAAATTTTCTCTCAAATTTTGAGCTTGTGTAAATTTAACATTTCTTATCCAAATTATCTCCCATAAATCCAATGAGATCGGCTCCTGTATATTCTGAGCCCATTTAATCATACAATCTTTAACCAATTCTGTTTCCGAATCTAACTCTAATAAAACATTATATATTCTTTTTATATGAGCCGGACCTTGGTTTTTAATCTGAATAACCAATTGTCTATCTTCTAGTGTTATTCCCTCTTTCTTGTCTACAGTCCATCTATCCATTATTTGTAAATATTGAAACCATGACTGTAGAATATTTTGCTGCCTTAATACATCTAGGGATTTCAAATGCCAATTCGAACCAGAACAAATTAACAATTCTTTGTATGAAATTTTATCAAAATTTGTCCCCTTAGAGGTTCCCTCAATTGCATGTCTGGGAATCCCCCAGATAGGTATTTTATAATTTAATCTATAATAATACTTCTTCCAAACACGAAGTAAGGCATTCCTCAAAATATGTGATTTAAAAGTCCGATCAACTTTCTTATTAAAAATTAAGTATGCATGCCAACCGTATATTAAATCCCAACCTTCCAAAAAGAGAATATCCATATTTGTTAAGTTAAGCCAATCACTTAACCAAGTTAGGGCGGCTGCATCATAATATAATTTCAAATTAGGTGCCTTAAGTCCCCCTCTTTCTTGAGCATCCTGTAATATCTTAAATTTAACCCTTGGTTTCTTCCCGGCCCATATAAAATTATTGATACCCTTTTGCCATTCCTCCAAATTTGCCTCTTTTTTAAGAATAGGTATCATCTGAAACAAAAAAAGAAACTTTGGTAGAACATTCATTTTTACAGCTGAAATTCTCCCCAACAGTGACAATTGCAATTTTTTCCAATCTCTTAAATCCTTTTGGACTTTTGCCCATAGTGGTTCGTAGTTATTCTTATACAATTTTCCATTTGAAGCAGTTAGATATACTCCCAAGTATTTAACCTTTTTTACCATCTGAAAACCTGTGGCTTTAATCAAACTTTCCCTTTCTTTAACTGACATATTCTTAGATAATATCTTAGTCTTATAATTATTAACTTTAAAACCAGAAACATTCCCATACTGTGTTATAAGTTCTAATAAACCATCAATCGCCTGATTCGGCTGTTCCAAAATTAAAACCAAATCATGCCCGCAATTTATACTCATTCTTCCTTATCTTTACACCCTTAATTAACTTCGATTCCCGAATCTGAATCAATAAAATTTCCAATGTTAAAACAAATAACAATGGGGATAATGGACATCTTTGTCTTGTCCCTTTTTGAATATTAAAATTCTCAGTCAATCCCCCATTTACAACAATTTGTGCAGATTGCTGCTGATATATAGCTTTAAGTGGATGTAAAAAATTGTCCCCAAAATTCATTTTCTCTACCAAAGAAAATAAAAATTGCCAGTCCAATTGATCAAAAGCTTTTTCAGCGTCCAAAAAGATAAAAGCCACAGGAATCTGATTATTCTTATCCAAGTACTCAATTAAGTTAATAATTTGTCTAACATTATGTTTCATATATCTCCCTGTTATAAATCCTGCTTGATCACTATGAATCAAGTCTTTCATAACCTGCATTAATCTATTTGCCAAAATTTTTGTAAAGATCTTATAATCAACATTCAATAATGAAATTGGCCTATAATTCTTAGGCTCTGTAAGATCCTGATCTTCCTTTGGAATCAGTGATATAAAGGCTCTTTTCTAAGAAGGAGGAACTTGCATACCCAACAAAATACTATTAAAGAGTTCCTTTAATGGCTCTATCATTTCTTCAGATAAGATCTTATAATACCTAGAAGTCAGTCCATCTGTTCCAGGAGACTTTCCAACCTTTAACTGCTTAATAGCTAAACCAATTTCCTCCACAGTAATTAAACTATTCATCCCATTTTGTTGTTCCTCTGAAAGTCTAGGAAAATGTACTGATTGTAAATATTTATCTATATCCAAACCCCTTATATTATCACTTGAATATAATTTTGTGTAAAAGTCCAAAAAGCTTTTTCTAATCAAATCTTGCTGAAAAACCTCAGTACCTTTATATTTTACTTTCTCTATAATTCTAGCTTTCTGTTTCTTTCGTAACTGATAAGCCAACCACCTCCCAGGCTTATTCGCATTGCAAAAAGTATTATGTCTCATGTACGACAGATTGGTAGCCACCTGATCTGCCATCAACATGTTAAATTGTTCCTTAAGCATCTTTATAGATACCTTTAAATTATTATCAGTAGGGTTAAGAACCAACTCTTGTTCTTTTGATTTAATCTCTTCTTCTATTTCTCTACGTCTTTGTGACCCTTTTTCCCTAAAAACTTTATTCAATTGAATCAAAATTCCCCTCATATATGCTTTACTAGCGTCCCACACCATAGACATCGATGTTCCCTTATTCATATTTATAGTAAAAAAATCCTTTAAATGTTCTTTACACTTTTGTACGAACTCCTCCTGATTAAATAAGTTCTCATTCAATCTCCAGGATCTTCTATTCCCGTCTTCTGAATATAACTCCATCCACACAGGACTATGATCTGACAATGTTCTAGGAAAAATTTTCACCTTCCTCACTCTAGGGAGGAAGTCACTAGTAATCAGAAAAAAATCAATCCTTGAAAATGACTGGTGTCTATCAGAATAAAAGGTAAAGTCTCTATCACTTGTATTCCTTTCTCGCCAAATATCAATAAGCTCCAGTTCTTCCTTCAAATCAAAGAAAGTCATAGGTAGTTTAGTTTGAATAAAAGTTTTAGAGGAACTTCTTTTGTCTATAGTTGGGTCTAAAACCCCATTCCAGTCACCCATCAAAATTACCGATTTATAATCCAACTGAGATATCTTGCCATGCAGCAACTTATAAAATTGTTTCTGTTGTTGATTGGGAGCATATAGTCCAACAATAAGAACCTTTCGGCCTTGTAATAATAATTCCACAAAAAGATATCTTCCTTCAGAATCAGCCTCAATTAGTTTAGCTGAAAAAGTTTTCTTCACATAAATTACCACTCCCCCTTTTTTCCCAGGGGCTGGAGCAGTAAAATGTGTGCCCAGACGGGAATTCATCAAGAATTTAGAATCCTTTAAAGTTATATGAGTCTCCTGCAAACATATCAAATCATTATTATGTTGTTTCAAATAATGGAAAATCTTTCTTCGTTTCTGGGGCACGTTTAAGCCATTAACATTCCAGGTCAGGAACCTGACCATCTCCACCGGCCTGGAGCCTCTGGAGCATGGCCTGCAGATCTGCTGTCGAAGATCTTTTTGGTCTTGCCCCTCCCACAGGCTCTGTAACAACCAAACTTTCACCACTCTTCTGCAACTGCTCTTTTTCTTTACGTTTATGGGCAGCTCGTGTCATCCTTTGCTCTTTTATGTCAGAATTCGGTGCAGCTTGTTCTATAACCATCATTGATGAGGCTCCTGCCATAAGAGACTCTTCCGTCATCCTTATTTGTGGAGGTGGTGACAATCTTGCTTTTAAGATAGACTGATAAAAATCTCTTGCTTTGGAAACAGTAGTTAATCTGTGACGTATCCCTTCATAATTTACTATTATTCCTCTTGGAATCTCCCATCTGAACTGAATTTGACGACGTTTCAACTCATCAGACAAGAAAGTAAAATCTTTTCTGGCTCTTAAAATTTTTGGAGGTATCTCTTTTAAAATTATCACGTCTTGATCAGCAATTTGAAACTTTTGTTTGTAAAAGGCCTGTATAATTTCATTATGGATAGATCTTCTAGAAAAATAAATAACCACATCTCTTGGTAGATTTCTCTGTATAGCAACCCGTGAATTAACTCTAAAAAATTTTTCTATCTCATTCTCAATTATTTCAGGCCGCCAGCCAATATTAGGAGCAATATCTTTCACAATAAGCATCTTTAAGTCTTCCTGAGGGTTATCCCTCAGGCCTCTGATACGCAACGCGTGTTCCATCTCCCTATATTGTGAAATGATTTGTTCATCCTGTGTAATTTCTATCTTGTTCTCTACCTCCTGCATTCTAAATTCCATCCTTGATGCATTTTCAGTAATCTTTTCCATCTGATCATCAATCCTTTCTATGTGCAGGGCTAAGCCCTGAAAGGCCAGAAGGATATGGTCTCTTACTTGTTTATTCTTTTTCTCCAATAATTCTTCTGTATTAGCCCTCTCTGCAATTATAAGATCTTTTACCTCCTCCTTAATATCCAAGCATGCTGTTTTAAAGCATCTTGTAAATCATTAAG